AGGTCGTGTTGGCGGCCACCCTCTCCTACCAGGGCGATGCCGGTTTGGGAGGTCTATTCATAAACCCTGAGGCCATTCGGGGTGCGAAGATCCATTGTTCCTAGTAGCTTCAAAGACATACTATATAGTAGCTTCTTGTTGCTACAGGTGAAACGATTCCCAAGGAAGCTTCTTGTTCCTAGTAGCTTCTTGCTCCTAGTCTCTAGCTCGTCGCTCGGAAGAGAGAGATGAACCAGGAACGCCTCCTTGACGAAGCACTCCTCGCGGCAGGGTGTCTCTTGGCGAGTCTGAACCCGGGGAATCCACCCGAAGGCCCGAAAAACGGTCCTCTTCAGGCATCCCTGGCCTGATTCAGCAACGTCCCAAAGGGATCTGGGTGTTTGGGATCATCTAAGGCCGCATCGGATCTCGGTGTCACATATGGTGGTGAGAGCGGTTTAATGTTGGCAGGGCGGTTTTCAGGTCCAAAGCTGTCGACAGAGGTTGAGAGCATGTCCTTTTTCGGGTTTCGGAGGAATGGAGAAGCCGAGCGTGTGGAGTACCCTAGGCTTCCTGGCCCACCATTGATTTCATAGCCTCTAAAGAACCATCCATGGTTTTACGAAGGATTGTACGCTACAAAAACCAGGTCAAGCATCTTTAAATAGAATGGTCGGAAGGGTACTCCAGATGGCAAAAGGTTTGGAGGCATCCCATATCCAACAACGACCTCCCAATGATCTTTGCGGACTCTGTTTGGGCGCTTCCTGGTTTCAGATCGCCCGTGGAAAGACGAATCCTGAACAACTATATACATCCGGCTAGACCGGCTAGACTCTGCTGGTCTAAAATGTGCCATGAACAACCAAGTGACCAACAGACCTCCTGCATGTTGAGTCACCGTCCAGATACTTGCCCAGACAGCAGGGTAGGGAAACTGAGTGACAGCATCAGACAGCGCAACCAAAACCCACACAGTCTCGCTTGGAACTGACCTGCCAGGTGACCTGCGCACCCGGCTCATCCCTCCCAACCACCGCCTCGCCACGGACCGAATCAGGTCATTCCGCTGGGTCCACCGCTCAAAGACCGTCTTCCTGCGCTGCCGCCCGTGAAGCTGGTTATGCTGAGAAACGGGTTCTTTTTATATTATATTGTATATATCTTTATGTTCACGTATGTCTTTTTTTTAAAAGAACAACAAATTGGATGGACATGGATGGACCCCTAAAGAGGGATAGCTGTTCTTTTTTAAATCTGTTTCCCGGGCGAAGCGACCAAGGTGAAGCTGGATCGTCTCTCGCGCACCCCCTGGGACGAGCGGGATGAGCGGGTGACCGCCTCCTCCGCGCGGTGAATCGGACCGACACAATGGTGGATGGAATGGACTGGCCATCATCGGTGGCATTTCATGGCACGGAACGGAAGAACAAGCAGACACCATTTGAGGGAGGTGCTGAAACGTTGATACCTGATGGTCAAACTCATCCTATTTTCCCTGATGGAGGTGGAAACCTTTTCACCAGCATTACACTCCAACATGGTGGAACTGGTCATTTGGAAGATGTTTTCGTTGCGTTGTTGCTCCGACAGCTTTAGGGGTGGGTTTGGAACCTCAGACCTTTTTCAGTATACCAAGCAGGCATGACATGAAACGGCGGGTCTATGCTTTTGGATTTTTCCTGATAGTTTCCTAGCACATGATGAAATCAGGAGCATCTGATTTTCAAGAACTTGTGAACGCCAAGTCGAAATCCTTGCCCCTTGTTTGAAATCCTCTCGCGGAGTCTTATAGAACCGCCTCACCTGAAAGATAGACGACCCAGGGGCTGAATGAAGCGGTCCAATACTGAGATTGTTCATCGGTCATCCGTGTAGACAATGATCCTTGCAGCCCGAACTCCGACTCCAAGACTATACCCCTGGAAGTCCAGCCGGCAATTTGAACATGGGAACGATTTGGTTTTGTAGCATCAAGTACTTTGTAATTGAATGGTTATTCGGGATTCAGGCTATATATATATATATTATATATCAATGGTGGTTCGACTTCTAGGTTGGGTATATAATATATATACATCTAGCATCATATAGCTTTTTGCCTAACCACCAAATTACACCATGTTGCTTAAGAAGTCGTTTCCTTGTCATTTCGTTTGTGCCTCCAAGATGCCTCCCAGGCCATCCAAGGCCCGGAACTTCCTTCTGTTCGACCCTGGGATCTTTGGGAAGTTATTTGTTTTTTTTTGAGAAGCTCGCAGCTCGACACCAAAACAATCATTGAAGACCAAGGAGGCGAACAGAACAGCGAAGAAGCGAAGAAGAACGCCTTTTTTCGCCCTCGTGAAATGGTGACCTTCTTCACACCGAAGGTGTTGAAGCGAGGCAAGCGTGCTAATGCAGCGAGCCAGACATGCCTGAAAACTGGACATGCGGTGCTCGCCCTTAGATGCAAAAAGCAAAAGAACCTAGCTGCGACGGTTGGTTTCGATGAGGTGAACATCCACCCACATACACACAGACACCCAGTGGGTAAAGCACACCTTACCAGGCCATTTGTTCACATCCAATCCCAAAGTCTTGTCAGGATTTCACCAGGTTCATCACCTGTTTTCATTTGTTTTTTCTCAATTTCTTTCAGGACCAGGTTTAGCAGGTTTCCATAGGTTTTCAGCTTGACAAGCATGAACCTTTATAAGTTGCTAGATCTATGAAACCAAAATCTGGTTGGTTGGTGCCCAAACGTCGACCGTCAACTATAAGTCAACTCCCCCGAGTAACTTGGCCGTGAAACACATGCGTTTCAGGGAGTTTTGTCAACCCATTTCTCAATCAGGCGATATGAACCCATTAAACCAGTTGTCCATGGAAAGCAGCTTGTTTCACCCCTTCCCCAAGCCTGAAGAGGTTACAACCAATCCATGTATGTGTTTTCTCTGATCAAGAGTCTACAATTGTGATTGTATTTCTTTTGTTAGACCATCTCAAAGAAAAAGTGGGTAGACCTTCATGACATGAAGTGATCTGATGAAGTAATATGAAGTAATACATCTCAAAAACACCGCACCGGCTCCTTTGGCTCTCGCCAGCGGCGGGAAACGGCACACCGACCATCCACGGCCGGGAAACGGGACAGTCTGAGCCTCGTGTTTTGCGGAAGTGGAACGATGTGCAGCAAGTGACGGCCCTGGTTTTTGCCAAGCAAAACCTCGTCCTTGACAGAACTGAGCAATTTTCATCGCCCTCATTTGAGTAGGACAATCCGCAGGGCAGCAAGAACACGAACGGCGAGAACTTGTGACATCTATCGGCCACAAAAACCGTGGCAAGGGGCGTGTGAGAAGGAAGAGGTGATCGAACCAGGTGGGAGCGGTTCGGACAAGCACGATTTCAGATGGTTGGAGAGAAAATACATCGTTTCCGGGTTCCGTGGTGTTTATTCGCAACTGGCCGATGTTCGGATCATGAAACTGATGATGGGAGAGCGTCATGATGGTCCCATCTCGTGTAGGTGGGCCTTTTCAATTTCTGTCCCGTCGTCAATATCCTCTCTCCATGTCCCTTCTACCGAAATCTCATGTAACACTGTGACATGAAGACCATAGAACGAAGGGAATCTACCAGGACCCTCCAAGGGGTGCCCTGTCTGGAAGCCTATATAGGTATAGTGTGGGGTAGTCCATTGGACACCCCGACAGGAGGGTCCTGGTAGTAACATGTTTGTATTGTCCCAGGTCCCGTCGCAGTGCGCGTTGAAGACTTGTTTGGGGGGCAAAGTGGGGAAGAAGAGAGGAGAAGCCAGATTTCAGCGGTCAAAAGCTAATTCCAGTCTAAAGTATCCGATGACTCCAGGTGACCAGGGCCCCCGGTTTGGGGTGTCTATTGCAAACCCAATAGAGGTGAAGGGTGCCCATTAACCACCCTTTGGGGGCTCAGGTATAGAGTGACATTGCAGGAGATCTCGTTTGAAGTTGGTGGGAAGAAACGTGGCCTTGGGTTTTTTGGGCCAAGCAAATGCTCGGTTCCAGAAGCTGGAACCTGGTGATCCCAGATGGAGTCCACCTGGTAGCCTCTTTGGAGGGTCGTTGATTTGTTTATTGCGGACCCTCAAAAGGTCAAGAAGTGAAGAAGCTGGTGAAGTCAGATGAAGTCAGGGTTCTTTTCTTCCTCCTGGTCTACTCGGTCTACTCACTCCCAAGTCTTCAGACTTCACTTGATCCACCGGATTGAAGAACAATGGGCTGGAATTCAACTCCGACCCAGCTTCAATCCAGTGTCCCACTCGATCGCAGTGTTCTATTTGAGGTGTTTGGTTCGTTTCTCGGGCCCATCCTGACGTTGTCCCCCATGGATGGAACCCCCGGACCCACCGGGGCCTTTCTCGGACCCTGGGGCTCGGTCGCACCAGGACACCTGGTCCGTGGACCTCCTGGGGCTCATGCGAGTTCAAGCTCCGGTCCCCTCCAGATCATGGGGGTTGCACTGAGAGCATTTCCCCATCCAGATCTTATGCTCTCTCTCTCTCTCTCTATGAGCGCTTCCCCACGACGCTTCAGTTCAATTAAGCCCTAGGGCTCCAACCATATGCTCGGAAGGTGGTTTGAGCCCCCCTGCACCCCAACCACCTTCTCAGGAGGTGGGTCAGGAGCCCTAGGGATTGTACCCCTTCACATGTCCGGAAAGGATGGGTTTCGTTTCTGGACGGACCCACTGCCTGTCGGGTCCATAGCGGGACGTCTAGATGGATCACACCTTTTTCATCCTTTTTCCTTCACCTTTCATTTGGGGATTGGTGAGTCCATGTGATTCCCCACCCTCACCATGAACAGGTGGAGTTCGTTTCACTGAAACCGCACAAACATCGGAACCACAGCCTTCTGTTCCGGTTCGTGAAAACCCCCTCCACCTCCATCCACCTGCCCTCCGCGGAGGCGATCGTGGACGGTCCGACGGGCTCCGAGGTCGACGAGTTCCTCGTCATGGCGCCACGCAGCTGACGCCGCCCGCCCGCTCCGCTGACCATGGGGTGCGCCGGGCCGTTTGTGCTTCGCCGGACGCCGGGGAGACTGCGAGTCGTCCCCGGACGGGAGGGAGGGAGTCCATGGGAGGCGCCGTGAACTCGTGCGGGTGGGTGGGCGCGGTGGTGACTTCTTCGTTGGGGTCGATGGATTTGGAGGTGGATGGCTGTGGTGAAGTGAATTGGGTGAAGGGGTCATGCACTTCCGTGTGAGTTCCACGGAGTGTAACCCTGTGAATTTGGATTCTGATAGGCAGTTTTTGGCGTGGCTTAGTGTGGCAAGATGGTTGCAAAGAATCAACCTAGAAGTGCAGGGGGTAACCAATTCATGAGGCTGAGATTATAATTCAATCGACAGGCTTGTCATGTCATCTATAGAGGATAGCAGCTCTGGGGTGCAGCCTCTATGTCCATTTTGGACCATTGAATGATATGAAATCAAGCTCTCATCACTGAGAGCTGCTCGGTTCTCATCACTGAAAAAGTCATAGAATCTGATCACAAATCATGAAGATTGCAACTCATCTCACCCCCGTTCTGCTCCTTTGACTCCTGACAACTCCATTTGGACCACAACAACATACACAGCTAGGGTCCCTAGGGTGGTCCTGTGTTCAGTATTTTGTGAAAGACTTAGGTCCTTTCGTCGTCTCTTTGCTTCAGCGTCCGCGTGCTGCATTTGGTGGCTCCACGTCGAAGCGTCTCGCACGGTCCTTGCTGCGTCAGGTGGCAAAACCTGAGCTATTCCTTGCGGCTTTGGGTGTGGAGCCTAGTCTTGGGCACGAAAGAGACTGGGAGAGATGGAGAGGCTGAACCAAAGCATGTGTTCAGATGACAAGTCCTGGATGGTTATTCGATGTTGTTCTTGCGTTGCTATGTTGTTTCATTGTTTGATGCCATGAAGGACATGTTCATCCATTCCCATGAGCCGCGACGAGTGAGCAAACCTTGGAGCAAGTGTTTAGTGTAGCTCACACAGCAGAACCCGTCCATCACCCTGTTCGGTATTACCCTTGGAGCCAGCACAGCGTTTTCAAGTGGCGAGGGGAGGGGATTCAGCCTGTTTGTAGAATTTGGTAGACAGGATGAGATATATTGAAAGGATATATACTGTAGTATGACGGTTCGGAACTAAGACCAGGACCCACAAGGGTAGAATTAATACCAAGACCCACAAGGTGGTTGATGAACGCCCCCGGAGCATCTCTTTCGCAATTCGACACACCACAGTGTCGGTCCAAACACAAGTGGCCCGAATTCAAAGACACTTGCGGCACTGTGGGGAATGGTTGTGCCATCGAATTTCTGGCCAGAAACTTCGTGAGGGTGACACGAGCCAAGATGGCTGCATTCACCAGCCGCAGCCTATGTATGTTAATGATCTCGTCCGGAATTATGGCTGTGTAGCAAAAATAGGAGACCGACTCTCCATGTGACTTTTGGGGAAGAGAAGAGCTGTCGATCATCGCTTCAGATCATTAAGTGTTGCTGGGTTGAGCTCTGTGCGCTCTCCGAATCAGCCTGGCGGTCTTCGCCAAGGTCTACACATGTGTGCCGACGTGAACATATATAATTGATACAGTATTATATTTGATTTATTTTATAGAATTAATATGAATTAACCACAAGTGATGGAAGGGTTCCACCGGGTTCAACATGCTTCCACATCACCGGCAGGAAAGCAGTTTCTTTCTATATATCCCAGACACTCCATGTATGCCATACATGCCTACATTGACCCCCAAACCATCCCAATATAGGCATATGGCATACATGGAGCGTCTGGGTATGTATATATATATATATAGCTATAATGGGAACAGCAACATCACTTCCAGTGGAATTCAACACACATCATAGCATCTGAAAGCATGGGCACCCTCTTTTCTTGCTAGCCCAAGGGGCCTAAACCCCTGGCCATCCATGCTGCCGTTTGTCTCCAACACCGGCTGCTCGGCTTCTCCGCTCTTCCGAGGACACGAGCTCGAAGGCTGTGAGCGAGGCGGGGGACCAGCAAGTCGACCGTTCTTCGGATGGGATGGGACGTTGATGGGACGATGGAGAGTCTTCTTTGCGAAGGTTTTGTTTTTTTTTTTCCGACATGAGGGCTGGGATGGAAGTGATGGAGTTTGGAGTTTGGCTGAAGCGGATGTGCAAGGTGTTCCTGTCTTTTTTTTCGAGACGTTGATGAGTTTTCCTGGATCAAAATGAAGTCCAAGTCCAAGTGTGTCGAAGTCCACAAAGCCACCCCCACAGGTGGAGGCGGCGGCGGAGGAGGTGCTGGCGGGTCGGGGTGCCTGGAGGAGGTGTCGTAGACTCCGATGAAGGCATCACATGCAGCGTAGAGGTTTTGGTTTCGAAGACGGTGCTCCCCTACTGTCTACAAACAACGCAGTCTACAAAAAGGCAGGCCGGTTCAAACGGTGCTGGCGGGCCGGTTCCTGAACTGTGAATCTGAAATACTGCTGGAACCCATTTGACCACTTGGAAGAAGGCCATACTAGCGGTGTTACTTCTGAACAGAGGTCACTCAGGCTCTAGGATACTCTGATAAATGAACCTTGCAAATGAACACATCGACCCAGCAACTCAAGGAAAGTAGTAGAGCGCTGCCACAAAATGGATGTCTTTGAAGATGCTGGAATTGATTCTTTGGGAGGCAATTACTGAAGATTCACCATACAGGTTATTAGGTTTCGAACCTTGATCCTGGACCTTTGTGAAGGATAAACTTTAAAACCTGTACACATGACCAGACGGGAGATCGAGCCGGGGCTTGGCGTTTTCTGGATGGCTTTGCGCCGCGCGAAAACGCGCCTTGGGGGCTAGCCTTGATGGCAGGGCCAGCCCTGGGTTTCAGAGAGCCATGTGGGGAAAGGAAAAGCGAACGACGACCCCTTCACCGAACCTTTCCTGTCCGACGTTTTCATCTCCGCGAAGTCGACCAATCAGAAGATCCCCTGAAAATGCTTCGATCAAATCCCCACATCCAAACCAGCTCCAATGAGACCAAAGCCGTACAACGGCTTGGCAGTAAGAGTAGATGGGGTATAATTAGGACAGTCACGGACTGTTGAAGACCGGGAGGTGATATGCCGATATGGCATGTTTGACTTGTTCTGGGTTTAGCTGGTGAACACTGAGCATGATGGCAGTAGAAACCAAGTCCCATCACACTTTGGGCAGGGCCACTTTATATAAGTCAATCCCAACCACTTGTGCCCAAACTCCCAGAGCATAGCCAGCCATCTTGAGAAGATTCAAGAAGGCACCCCAATCTGCTTTTGCATAGAACAGAAGCCCCCCGCCACTGTTTTGGGGTGCTGTAATTCTCACGGTTGGATCGACACGCAGTTTTCTTAGCGGTGGAGCTTGCATGAATTGGCCAATCAACCACGGGTGCTTGCCACCTCCAACGGAAAAAGACACCTGTTCGGCCCAATGAGCTGTTTTGAAGTTCCTGAGACGTCCAGGGACTCAAATGAATCATGAGGGTTCCAAGGTGAGGGTCTGCTACTTCTGTCCTTGACTGCACAAACCCCGGGAGGTTGAAAAAAAGAATGGTCATGTCTCAGGAATCCAACATGTTCATCCGCAAAAGAAGTCAACGAGAAATGCGACTTCTTCCTGTGTCATCTCACTTCACCATTTTTTTGACCAACATCCTCACCTAAAGTCTCCACAGTTTGGGACATCCCCCCTTGTTCTCCCATCTTCCTTCGCGCAACTCCTGGACTTCCACCCGACCGGGCCACCGAACACCCGGGCCACCCGACCTCCACCGACCCGAGGTGGCGATGATGCCGAGGCGCTGGAGATCTTCTCCGAAGCGTTGGATCCGCCTCCGAGCGGCAGTGGAGCGACAGTCGACGCCGGCCGTTGGATCCGTTCGCAGGTTTCACCAGGCAACCAATAGCATCCAATAGCCAATAATGGTCATAATCCAGGCATCCACCTGACTTCACAGGTCACCAATTGGGACCTCTTAGGGCAAAAACCCTCCGGTTGGAGACCTGTTGGAGGGTGGATGGTCACCTCGGATTTCGGTCAGGTGACGTTGACATCCTTACCGGTCTCCGCATCTGCAACGACAAACATATATGCAAAGGCCTCCAGAGACCTGTTGGAAGGTGCTGTTGCAGGTCACTCTGTCACTCGGTCAGGGGGGCCTTCGGACCTCACTTGCTTGGTCGTGGGGGTGGGGGGCTTGGTTTCTTTCTGTTTCCCGACAACAAGAACAGGTGGACCCTGGACCCGAAGCAAGTGCTGCAGCAACTGCTACATGAACGTTTTGACCTTGGTCCAAGTTGCCCATAAGTGGTGAGCTTCAAAGGCCTTCAGAATGCATATTGATGCTGGTTTATAAGGCTGTAGGTTGCGAACCTACTGAAGTCACGAACGTTGATAGTGATTCGGGATACTGTAGGTTGCCAACCCGATGACTTCAAAGGCATTGAGAATGCATATGATGCGGGTTTATAAGGCTGTAGGTT